TTAGAACTTCGCATGTACGTACATCAGTTCGAATCGCCACACCACATTAGCACAGAGATGCATTTGTCGATTCAAATCTCGCAGTGGTAGAGGTAGTAAGAGTATAAGCAGTAATCGGAAAGATTAGGGTTTAAAGATGTTATTCAAGGAGTATAATACAGTGAAATAAATATGGAAAGAGAAAAAAAGGGGACATGAAGAATTCCTAAGATTAGAATTTGGGGAACACAAAGAGTGGATGCACCTGCGCCATTGCAAACGATTTTGAGCCATGTCATTCAGGGTCTCTAACCATCGGTTGCTATCATCTCGCGGTTCCCAACCAGGTAGTCTACACCTACCAACATGACTCAGTCCACTTGTCAGTGACTTCATGGACTTGTGCCATGTTTTGGTCTGGCCGCCCCTAGCTTTCTTCCAACCTACTCCTATACCACTGAACATCACACGTCGAGGCAGTCGGTCGTTGGGCATACGTAACACGTGTCCCAGCCATCTCAACTGATGAAGTTTCACTACGTCATCAATTGATTTGCCATCCTTACCTAGTACCCGTTTCCTAACAACTGCGTTACTTACTCGATGGTCCCATGATATACGAGCAATATTTCGAAGACACCTATGATCAAATACTAGTAACCTACGGATATCCTCTACTCTTACCGGCCATGTTTCACTGCCATAAAGTAGGACGGAACGAACTGCTGCGCAGTAAACCCGTCCTTTGGTTGATAGACGGATATCTCGCCTACGCCATAAATGACGCAAGTTGGTAAAAGCTAGTCGAGCCTTCTGTATCCGTGCTGAGATTTCGTCACACACCAGACCACAAGGGCTGATGAGACTTCCAAGATAAGTGAAGCGGTCGACACGCTCAATTACTTCACTCCCTATCATTAGTTCGGGTGTCAATGCAACCCAATCCTGAAGCAACATTTTGCATTTCGAGGGGGAGAATCGCATCCCGAACATGCTTGCATTGTTGCTTAGAGTGGTCAGAAGACTGCATTTTGTCAGCGTCTTCACCAAATAAAACTATGTCATCGGCATATTCTAAGTCAACAAGTGAACCTCCTGGTAGAAGTTCAACCCCTGCAAATTTAGATGAGGAAAGTGTTATCTCTAAAAGTACGTCAACGACAAAGTTGAACAAGAATGGAGAAAGTGGACAGCCCTGACGAACACCACTTGAGGTAATCAATTCTGATGACAGTTCGCCATAAGCTCTCACTCGACCAGTTGTGTTCGAGTAGAGAGCCTTTATAAGGTTAATGTACTTCTTTGGTACTCCTTTCAGTGACAAACACTGCCATAGAACCTCACGATCAACAGAGTCGAATGCCGCCTTAAGGTCGAGAAATACTACCATTGTGGGGCGTCTGAATGTGTGTCTGTGTTCTAGAACCTGACGTAGTGTGAATATCTGATCTATACAACCACGTCCAGGTCGAAAACAGCCTGGTTTTCTCTAGTCTGCTCTTCACGAGCTTTAGTTAGGCGTCGAAGTATTATTGAAGCTAATATTTTAGACACTATATTAGTCAAACTGATTCCTCTGTGATTGTCACAAGAGGACTTTTGTCCTTTCTTATAGACTGGCACAATCAGTGATTGAGACCAGTCAGATGGGATTACGTCCAGTTCCCAAATTCTACCTAAGACCTCAGTTAATCTCACTGCTAATACTGGACCACCATCCTTAAAAATCTCAGGAGTAAACCTGTCAGGGCCTGCTGCTCTCCCTCGTTTCAGATTTCCTATGGCTTTTTCAACTTCGTAAAGAGACGGAGGACCTACATTAACTTGCCATTCAGGTTGACTGGAGATCGTGGGAAACCGAAGTGTGGCTGAAGGCCAGTTGAACTGATCCCTAAAGTGTTCTGCCCATCGATCCAATCTCCTGGATTGAGAATGAATAATATGTCCATCTTTCTCTGAGATTGTTTCGCTAACAGTCGGGTTCCTAATTCCGGTTTCCTTAACGAGTCTGAACAATTGTCTGCTATTACCTATTGCCGCTGCCTTTTCCATCTCTCTTGCTTTCGCTACCCACCACTGTTCGCGATCATTGCGTAGACTTCTTGTCAGCTTGCGCTTAAGCTGACTCCTCTCTTCATTATGTTCAGAGCCAGGTGGAATGAGTTTCCGAGCATCTATCAGTGCGATAGATGCTGCTGAGATCCAGTGTTGCTCCCTAACCTTGTGGTTTACCTTACTAGCAGATATCACTGCTGTTTCCACAGCTTTTCGGATATCATTCCATGCTGCCTCGGGGTGGGCATCACATACATGGCTGCCTAACTGTTTTCCTAGTTGTTCCTGAAATATACTCTTAGCTTGACTATCATTAAGTAGGCCCTAAGAGGTTTCCTTGCAGCGTCTTTCCTACGTCCAGTAAGACGCAGGCAAATACGCGCTCGCACTAGAGCATGATCTGAATCTAGGCATGTGCTCCAGAATGAGCGACAGTCTTCTATCGAGCCCCTCCATCGGTGGCTGATAGCGATGTGATCTATTTGGGTCCAACGTTGGGACGAATTAGGGGGTCGCCATGTTAAAAGATGTTTTTCCTTATGCTTAAAGTTAGTATTTGCAAGGAACAGGCGGTTATCTGAGCATAGCTGCAACAGACGGTCGCCATTATCTGTTCTTTGAGCCACGACACCATAAGATCCACCTAGGTGTCTTTCCCTTTCTCTTAGTTTACCTACTTGAGCATTAAAGTCACCGGCCACTATTACTACATCCGAGCGCCTAGCTTTTCGGAGAAGGTCGGAAAGCTTTCTGTAAAACTCATCTTTTACATCATCTGAGCTGCAGTCAGTGGGAGAATAGGCAGAGACGACGAAGAGGCAACGACGAGTGTCCCTATCTTTCCGAATCCTTACTGTTCCGTTCAGTCGGACAGCGCACAAACGACTGTCTACTGGGATCCACTCTAAGAGAGCTAGTTCTGCCCTAGGACTCAATGCTATACCTACGCCGGCGAGGCCACGGGAAGCAGAATCAGGGCTTCCAGATACACGAAGTGTGAATCGAGTCGGTTCTTTATTTTGGCATGGTGAGGTCAAATGAATGACGCTACTCGGATCCTGTATGCGCGTTTCGGAGACGCAGCACACATCGATGGCGCGAGATTCTAAAGTCCTAGCTAAGGAAGCCTGTTGTCCTATTTGGCACAGTGTTCGTACGTTAAAAGCTCCTACGTGTAGTTTAGAGCGTGGTTTCAGGAGACCAGGAATAACGTTCCGCGTACTCAAATCGTTTGCCCTAGCGGTGCGAGGTGATAAAGGGACGTGAGGAGGGTTAGTCGTGGAGATATGAGAGGTATTAGGAGGTGTAGGAAGGATTTGAATGTGACCAACTTGGTCTCGTGTGTTGCTACGGGTATGAGGGCTGATGTCACTTCCCGGCTGCCCACACCGTGGAAGGGTATTTCTTGAGGAACCTGAAAAAGAAATTGGATTAGTGTTGGTCTTAACGACCTGGGAGCGTGACCGCAGAGCCCAAGGGACAACTGCTTGAGGCCGGTCGCGCACGGCCTTTTTGTGGTAGGTTTTTAATGTGTTAGCTCCGTTCTTCAACGGGCCTTGCCGCCGGAGACGGAAATCCGTGAGGTAAGGTGAGGTGTGACATTTTTAGGGTCAACCTTTTCTAACCCCCTCCTTGTGAGGAGGCGGAATCGCTGCACATGCTGGTTGTCCGAGGGAAACACCTTACTGCTGTCACACCTCTCTACAGTCAGCGGTACGACTTCGCCCTCAGACCTCGAGTTGCTGCTTTTAGTCTTACCGTTCTCCAATCGACCTGCCTGGAATGATAGAACCTACAAGAACATATGTTCCAGCCAATATAGCTCGGTTGGGTCATCATGATAGGCAAGCCCGACCACCGCGTCAAGGTAGCAGCTACGGTCGGGTACATAGATAAGTTGTTATTGTACGAATGACTCTGCCCGTTAAATAGGTTAACAAAGGACCTCAACCAAATTAAATGTAAACAAACTCAATCGCACGTGAGTTGCAATTGTGTCAAAACCAAATCAATTGTTAACTCTAAGGGTTAGCCTGAAAAACCGATATATGCTTACGCTGAATGTAAAGAAAATGATCTACCTTTTACTTCCAATATCATCTTAATTAGTTTTTGAATGACTTTATTTTTAATAAAACCTTAATCACATTCCATCAATTTTTATGGGTGTGATTGTTGCTGAATTTTTGTCTAATTACTAAAATCCAGGTTAAAAATATGTTGTAAATAATTGTTATAAATAAGCGTTAACCCTTCTGAATAACATTTCACTCCATAGTTTAGCTAAAACCTGAACATTTGACTTAGTAGAAGAATTCATAGAAAACAAATAGTGAGAACTTAGTTACTTCTAATATTAACTATCTCAGCAATATGTCAACAAAGAGAGTGGATTGGAAACCATCTGACTGATTGAATACTTAGAGCTACTTTCATTCCTTAAAATACATTAAGAAAAGTGAGTACCGATTCCTGCAGGAAAATTTCACTTTGTAAAAATAATATCTAATGATATTTATTAAATTGACCTTGATGTAAAAGAAATATGTAAACTATTTGAATGACATACCAATCTTGTAATGTAAACTTATTGCAAAGGTGATACGACATGAAGTTACCACAATACTCTTGAAACATATTTCTGTATTAGTTTATCACAAAAACATGTGCACTTTTAAAAGTGAAAGTATGGACACTGATGTGCGTATTGACGTTATTTATTTTCATTGAGATTTAAGATCATAATTTTAGTGGAAAGGCTGATAAAGAGCAGACAAGTCAAAACCTGATTGATTTAGAAATCAATAAACATCCAACGACTTCAGAATCAATTGATTTGAATGAATTCTTTGCAAGAGAAAACAAAATCTTCAATCAAGTCAAAAGACATGAAATAATGAATAAAGCAATATGATAAAAAATGTTCAAAAACAATACTACTAAAATATTGCATACTTGAAACTTACTAGGCAAAAGAAGGAATGGATTTAAATAAAAATTTCCAGGTGGTGGTTCATTTATCAAATTATAACCTAAAACATTATCTTTCTTCCCGAAACGACTAGTTGTTATCATCCAATATTCTGCAAAATAATTCCATATTCCTGAAACATTTTTATATATACTTTCAAATACATGTGCACTCTCATATGTGGCGTACGTTAGAAACCATTGGCTTTTACTTGGATCTTTCGTTAGTGGCCAAGGGTATTGAAATAAATATGGTGGTCGCTTTATTTTATCCATAAACCAATTAGGCACAGCATCAATTGCACCTAGACGTTTCGATAATCCATCTTGATGCAAATCAATGATGATATAAACTCCATATAATCCAGCATTGTCGATAATCGTTTCAATGATATCTAAGTACTCTCGACTGATTTCGTTTTCCTGTGGTTTTAATGCTATCCAGTTGAATTCTAATCGTATAACATTAATTCCCCAATCTCTAAGTACTCTGAATGAATGAGGGTCAAGTAGTTTTGGAAAGTAAAATGGTGCGACTTTATGCACACAGTTGATTCCATGAAATAATTTAATAAATCCTTGTGGATCAACAAAGTAACCAGTATCATCGTCAATGGTGACTTTTGCATGAGCTTGTGAATGGAAGAATTTTGGTAGTAATATCATTATCCATGACAAACGTAAGAGTGCATCAATTAGAACGTTCATAAAGTCTCCAAGAAGTTTAAGTTGCTTTGAAGATCTTGTCGATCTCACCGAAGTGAATAAAAATTCCGTTTAAAACCACAGGGACAATGTAATAGGTTAGTGATTGACAGTAAATTGTAAATTAAATGAGAAACATATACTCAGTAATTTATTGCCAAGTGCAAGTACAAGTAACTTTATAATCACTGATGGGAGTGAAGATAAATATGGTATATATCAGATATTTAAGTTAAATGAGACAACTATAAATGGTTACAGTTTACTGTGATTAATTTATTACAATGGTCTAATTGGTCTTATATATATGTCACAGTGACCTTGAGGGTTTAAGGGCTGTTTCCAAATAAATTATCAAACTATCATTGGATCAAAGTTAATTAAAAATTAATAGTTAGCTAATCATTCTATTTTCAGTAGTTGCTTAATTTGTTACAAGTAATTTGAAGCTGAAATTTCAAGCAATGTCTACAAATTATCGATCAAATACAATCGTTATTAATGAGCATCCTAATGAGCTACGGATTAGTGTTAATTGGTTAACTACTGTACTGTACAAAGAATACAGAAATTCGATCAGTACTCTTTATTCCGAAGATTTCTAAATCACAGAAATAACTTCAAAAGCTGGTATTATTTGTTTCAAAAGGTGAATCATTCTATTTTATCTAAGCCAAGAAATAAAATGTATGTTTACTTTGAATAAACTGTTACTGTTATTTCTGTCTTACGTTCTCTTTCCTTATTCACTTCACTTCATTTCGAATCTTTTACGTATTATTTTTCAGTACTTATTAATATTTAGTAAATAGAAGTATTCCTAGCAATTTCTACGCTTATGTTGTAACGCAAGTTGGTCGTGTAATACTCTGAAATATTTACATATTCTTATAACATTTATTGTATTTATCATTATAATTACTTATATCAATCATTGTATCAGTTGTTCGCAATTTCTCGCGGTCGTTTGACCCTTGTTTAAACGCAATAGTTTCCATATTACTTGCTTTTAGCTCCGTTTCTGCTTGTTAATAAACCGTTATGAAGTTATGACACAGCCAACGGCTGTCACTTTTGCACTATCAAAGCCTTCTTATTTCAGACAAAAGGACATGGTAAACGCCTCAGACACCTCACAAGTTGAGGTGTGTAACTAATGTTCGTACATTATTCAATAAAGAACCGCTATCTCTGATAAATCGTTGATTCGTGAACTTCGATTTTGCGCGTATATCAATTGAGTGATTTGATGCTTCAGTACAGTTAACAGTTAATTTCATCTACCGTGAGTTACAAGTGGCAATAAGTGGGTATTGTATGCGTAGCTATATTCTTGCTGTTTGGATGAATCAAGTGCTTATGAGAAGAAATGTAACCACGTCTTATATTTCTATAACAATAAAAAATTGATGAATTGAATCTTGTGTTACGACTTGATAAGGAATTTAACTTATCAATCTAGTCGTTGATTAACACATATCATGACCACATATGCATTTTTTGGAACAACAATATATACAGACTTTTATGTTTTATAGAAAATACGTGACTATTTTATGATCACATCTACAGAAGACCACGTTACCAATTGAGAATTTAATGAATAGGGAAATTTGAAACATGTCGAATATATAGAATATTAAGGCATTGGAAGCGAAAATGGGTTTTGATGAGAAACATTTTATTTTTGTGGTATTTGAAATTTTCTAAATATTTTAACTGTACGTCATAATCATTTGAACGTAAATGTAATGATAATCACTTAGAATTGGAGAACATTGAACGTCTGCTTTTTCACAATTTCTTACGATTCAGTCATTAATGTAATATGTGATTGGTCAATGAACAAAATGATTAATGTGTTATTAGTTTGACGCAACGCATGCAGTTTATTGTAGTCTAGGTGTATTACAGTAATGATTCAAATTTTATCATGTGATATTTCTTTAGTTTAGTCAAAATATGTTGAAAGATGTGAAAATATCAAGGAGTTCACAATTAACAATATTGATACAGATTTCGAATAAGTTGGTAAATGGCTATAATTGTTGTCTGAATGCTTATATTGTGTTTGGTTTGGTATGATCGTTATTTCCATAAGTTCAATATTTGTGTTGATCAACGTACATGGTGCATAGACAAACATTAAATTAGTATTATTTTCATACATTTTATAATATAATTGTTCTGGTACAAAACGGGTTCTCACTCCATATGGATAATGAATCGACATTGGAACAAAAATCTCTGCAACTAACAATGCTGCGTCCACGTTTGTACAATACTTCTGTGTGGGTACAAAAGCATAATAAAACACACCTGAATCGACATCGAATCTCAGTTTGACAGGTTGACCGGCAGTTGATTGTGGATATGTACGACTGAATGATCTCAACTGCATGGTGAATAAGATAACATAAATGCTTAATTTTATAAGCAATATACAACGTATTTGAACTCACTATTTACTGTCATGAAATAACGAAATGAAACAAGCTACTGCATTAATGTGAAGTACATATATACAAATTATTTAATTTGAAGACAGTGTAAATCATGACCTGATAGCTTGATAGCCAAAGGAAGTAAGAAAACTTTGGAGAGATATTCTAGGATGAAATAGTTATTTAAATATTTCTAAAGGAACCATGACTAATTAGTGTTTCATCGTATCTGACATACATGAATGATCAAAGACTAATGATTAAGTAGTTAGGTGACTGCAGTAAGAAGTAAAATGACTCTTCTAAATTTAATATCACTACTGAAATGGAGTCAGCTGTTGATGATTTTCGACCATATATTTTTGTTCATAAGCTTACTTTAGAACTCTATCGCAAATGACATTGAAAAAAAAACTATCCGAAGCGAACTGAATTCTTTAAATCAATTGTTATTTTACTGCGCTTTGGTCATTAGGGTATTATTATTAATGACAAACTTTCCCGATTTGTTTTCATGAGATGGGTTATCGTAACCTGATGATGAAAATATTTTCACTAAGCACAGCAGATGGTTAACGAAAGTCTGATATTGCCTAATACTGGAGTTTTCCGAAGTTATCCAAAGCCAAACAAACGAGGGAGGCAAATAATGTAAATGTTATATATGTGTGATTTCTATATTTTGCAAAGCCATTGTGTGATTGTGCACTAAACGACAAATTGGATTTCCCCACCTGAGTTCTCGTCTACGACAATACGAGTATGGGAAATACCATTTATTTCCTGAATTTATTCTGATAGTACTGTCCAAAATGAAAATTATAAATTCGTTTGGCGTGCAGAACAAAATGACTCCAATAAAAAATTGACATAAATGCAAAAAAAGTTTTTATCAATAATAAGACCTACGGAAATGTTGTCTACAATTAAGTTGGGAAATAATTCATTTCCGTCCCAATAAGTCCAGGATTCGAAGTTCCTGTCGGCTGCACTCATCACAGCGTTACATTCAACCGTATTTATTGAATCTGGATTGCCATCAGGAAGACACAGACCGAATTCTGTTAAAAACCGTCCTCCACCAGTGTATTTAACTATACTTCTCGCATTATTGAATGCATAATTCAAGAGAAGCTACACAAGCAATATCAATGTTAACATTGATTAAGTATGTGAATGATTATTACAATAAAACTAGACTACAATAAACTGCATACACTGCGTCAAAGCAATAACACATTAATCATTTTGTTCATTGACCTATCACTGATTACATTTATGACTGAGCCGTAATTCAGAAATCACCACAAATATATGAAGAATGAAATTAGTTATGAAATTCCACACAGTATGAAGGACGGTTTGAATACATTGATTGTTAGTGTATTCATGAAATCACATCATGTCAGTTCATTCAATCATCAAACATTTATTTTATAAACTGATTAGCACCTATTACTATTAATTACAGTTTTCATGTCAAATCGTAGTGTTTAGATTTTCATTCCTAGTTTACTCTACAGTAATTTAATTGAGTTTGTTTTCTGGTGTTTTGTTCAACCCAATCAGTTCATCATTTATTAAGGACACATTAAACATTTATCCATATCAGTTGTAACTACCATTTGTATTTTAAAAGAAATATTCACTGTTTTGCCTAATATCATACATTCAGTATGTGCAGACCGCAAATGGGTGCTCGATCAAACAAAATAACGTGTTTGTCAATTTCATTTTTACAATTGATGTCATACAGGTTGGTGCGAATAACAGGGCAGAATTGCACTTCCCCTTGTATCTATCGATGTAATAATCGGATTAGAATTTCACTTTACTTCATAAACTGGAGATTGTGTCAACACAGAACATGTGTACATTTGCGTGCAAAATCCTATGGTGTTTATGAATGGGTTTCAATAAACAACTGAGTTTAATCACAGCTACAAAATAGCTAATTTTACTTTGAAAGGTAACACAGAGTACATATTAATCCAATGCTTCTATTTACACTTCCACTGTTTGTTTATAGGTGGTTTTGGCTAATTCACTATATCTCAAGAATACAAAGATGACAGAATCCATACTTATCATTGCTGTATAGAATTATTCGTCATTGTTGTTTATTCATCTACGCCCAACTTCAGACACACCCATTACTATAACTTTTGCTAGTTAGGATGATTCATAGAACATAAATGCTATTACTGTATAGAAGGAATGTAGAAATTTCTCATCTTATTTAACTTGTTTTAATCAATTACAAAGTACTCAATCGTTCTAACAATTTTGCAAACTTATTCATCATCATATTGTTTACTGTGAGTATTTTTATGGTGAAAATAAATGAATTGGTGATTGGTAATTGATAAATATGAGCTAGTTTATGGAAGTTTTTCAATCAATTCTAAGTAAATAAATTCTGAAGTACGTGAATGTTTTGGTGTTGTTTTCATTATTGTTATTATTTTAATTATTATTAATATTATCATTTCTATGTTTGATATCCAATCTATACTTTGTCAGCGGATCGGTTTTCACAGAGAATCAGCAACAGTGAATGTATTACATAGAACAAGAAATATTTATATGAATCATTGTTTTATAGCGGAACACCTCAGGAGTAATCACACACAATTACAACAGATGTTAGAGCACAAACATTTATCCCTGAAGGTAGGAAATGGAAATGTAGACCCCTAACATAAAATATAACTCATTAAATATTACTGTTAAGTCAATTCACGATGGCGCTCGATGATCATGCAATGTCATAGATGACAAATATCTCAACGTCGATATGGCTTAACGATTTGTAATTCGGATCTAGCGAAATTTCTTAGTGTGCTACGTGGTTTCGGGAACAAAAATGAGCTACAAGTACTTGCCTGAGTTCACTCAAATTTATTTCCCTAGTCAATATTTACATATCTAATAAGCGTATTGAAAATGGTCAGCTATATAAATGAAACGTGTGCGATAATAACTCCATACGTTTACATAGATGAGAGATAATTTCGCTTCGAAATTTCTGTCAAGGACTAACAAACCAAAACCAACAGATAACTCTTTTCATAAGTCATCGAGTAACTCAATGGAATTAATAAACTATTTAAAGGTGAAAATTGTGAAGCACCTCAGAATTACGACTAAACAAATGTTCATGGTCTAAAGGATTCGAGTGGTCAATCAATCATTTTAATATCATGATCGACATTAGTTGAAATATTTAGAAAGGCATATATCTAATAATGAGGCGATCAAGAGTAAAATCTCAGCAGATCTAATGCTTCATTTTTATAATATTTTCAAGAGAGGTATCAATTACTGAAGCTAAAGCCTACTTTCACATGATTGGTGCTTGCAAAAACTTAACAGAATATCGAGGATTCTATGTTGCTTAACTCACATCCAATAATCAATGGCGTTCTTCCTATATGAAATTTGTTCAAATAATTAAATTTTGGGCTTGACAATAACGCAAGGAATTCAGCTGACTGAAGCTAAATTGACAATCATCGTATGCTAAAGTGCTGATCTGAAAACGTACTCGCTAAGACATATTAAGGCTTTAGGTTTGATTTCTGGTAGGGTTGTAAGCACTCTCTACAGAGCAGTGAATAGTTGTCGGGTTAACGTCAGGATATGGTGTGAAATGTAAATGGCATTTTATTATGAAAATACTTTCGGTCAGCGGTCCTTCGACGTTTAACTTGATTGAATGAAGCTGTTCTGAATATAGATCCAATCATTTATTTATTTAGAAAATATTATTAGGAGTGACAACAGATTTAAACATTTTCCAGTCAAGTCCGATAATCAAGTTACGAATAAAATGAAAGCCAGTTAGCTTATGCTAAAAAATGTTGGTATTAAAGCATTGAGATATTGGAATGCATATGCGTTACAAACAATAAACCAGGTAATTGAACTCTCACTTTATCACACAAATATCGTTTCCATGATGGCATATTCTCTGTAGATGGTGTCGATTCCAATAACCAACAGTAGTAATGATAAGATAATACACTCTTCTTTCTGGCCGTCTCATCTTGTAATAAGCCGGGAACACGTTGGATACCAGTACCAGGTATTCCATTAACAAATGGAAAATATATTCCATAAGTTACACTTTCGTAAAATATCAATGTATTCTTGTCTGTTTGGCGAATAACATTTACCAAATAATCATAAAATGATAAGAGACTGTGACCTGCATTATCTGTCCGAATATAAAATGAAAAAGATCGGAATTGTAAGAATTGAAATAGATTTTGAGAATGAATATAAGTGAAAGTTGACAAAAATAAACATATCTGTTGCGGACAGAATGTTTTCGGGAAGATAGATTGTGGTTGGTAATGAAATTCACGACGCTCGTTCAATTTTATTGGGGACTTATTAAATGGGTCATCTTACATCTAAGCCTTCGTGTTTGTATTCAAGTTAGGAATATCAATAACAGGGAAATCTATTCTCTTCTAATAATCACCAAATGTTCTTCATTTGTAAGTCTTCTTTTGTGATTAAACGATGTGAACAAATCAATCACCCAACATGGCATCATGCATAGTATAGGTTAATGAGTAAGTCAATTAATTTTGGCGGATCTTATCTCGATGTCTGTTTTGTTGATTACATTCATGGTCGAGAAACAGACAGAATGAGTGATAATCGTAATAATGAAGATGGCGAATTCCGAAATCACACTGACTGAAATTATAAACACGTAACATAGTTGTACATAACATCTTTTTATTCTTAATACGATTGTCATTATGATCAATATTACTATCATTTTTTGCCCATTTATTTATGTGTTCTAAATTATCACCAACAAAATATTGAATAGCTAAAGACAATAGACAAATCGTTTTGTTCGTTGTTAGTTCACCTGTTGGTATTAATTGTCATTATGATAAAATATGTTTTATGCTTGTCATCTACTTTCTAATATTCAATACTGCAGTCGCCATATGTTATTTCTGGATGAATCAGGTTAAAAATGATAAGATGTTCGTTTAATTGCTTTAGTAAATATTTTATTGATAACCATGGCTACGATTGATCACTTGCTTCTAGAATCTGATTGCCATTAGAACTACTCAAATACTGTCAATTCGTATGAAACGTATGAGTTATGTGATAGCTGCTTATTATCAATCACAGGTTTAGATTGCATAATTATGTTTTGCGATTTCATTTTTATTGAGGTAATGAACCAACCAATGTCAGATCACCATTGGTTACCTGGAAGCACTGGAAGGCCGTCCAGTCTTGAAATTTGACTTCTCAGCAGTGAGCATCCATGGTCCTGCAAGCGTGACGCGCACTTTTGAAAAATCACGTTTTAAGACGAGATGGCCATCCAGTGTTTCAAGGTTTGCAATAGGAAGTCGACAGTTTCCACAACTCTAAACTGATAATTTTGTTTGTTAGTGAGATATTGTCACAATTGCATGTTGCAAAATATGAGAGATATTTTCACATCCGAACAATGTCAAGAGCAAAGCGACGTGAAACTCCAGACAAGATGAAACGAAAGTGGTCGTTTTATATATTTGTATCAATCAGCAAATTTCTTTTGAAACCAACGTAATCTCTGTTGCAGTCGAAACCGTCATTGAAGTAACCTGACAGCAATGAATTTCTCGATTTTAGTCATTTAGGTATTGTATTGAGATTCTGTGCCGATGTACCTTTTCACTGAAATGATCAATACAATGGAAACAGTATTGCCTGTATTTTTTGTATAAGCGACAATAATTCTTTAGTCGAACCAACAGAAGTGAAACTGGGATTTATGAATTAATTGGACTTTCCATTTTAATTGGAACTTAGATCATTTGATTCGTAGGAGGTTACACCGAAAAGTAATAAAGAGAAGCGAACCTAGTCCGTTTCTATGTTAACTGTTTCAGCAAAATATCAACAGGCAAAATGTGAGATGAAAATAACGTATTTGATGAAATGTAGTCTACAATCAATGAACAGTACTAATGAGCCACAATGACTAAAAGCAACCACGAAACATTATTCAGAATTTTAATAATATTCGACAAAATACTACGAATAGCGAAATGTTAACTTCATGCAACTTACTAGGCAAAAGAAGGAATGGATTTAAATAAAAATTTCCAGGTGGTGGTTCATTTATCAAATTATAACCTAAAACATTATCTTTCTTCCCGAAACGACTAGTTGTTATCATCCAATATTCTGCAAAATAATTCCATATTCCTGAAACATTTTTATATATACTTTCAAATACATGTGCACTCTCATATGTGGCGTACGTTAGAAACCATTGGCTTTTACTTGGATCTTTCGTTAGTGGCCAAGGGTATTGAAATAAATATGGTGGTCGCTTTATTTTATCCATAAACCAATTAGGCACAGCATCAATTGCACCTAGACGTTTCGATAATCCATCTTGATGCAAATCAATGATGATATAAACTCCATATAATCCAGCATTGTCGATAATCGTTTCAATGATATCTAAGTACTCTCGACTGATTTCGTTTTCCTGTGGTTTTAATGCTATCCAGTTGAATTCTAATCGTATAACATTAATTCCCCAATCTCTAAGTACTCTGAATGAATGAGGGTCAAGTAGTTTTGGAAAGTAAAATGGTGCGACTTTATGCACACAGTTGATTCCATGAAATAATTTAATAAATCCTTGTGGATCAACAAAGTAACCAGTATCATCGTCAATGGTGACTTTTGCATGAGCTTGTGAATGGAAGAATTTTGGTAGTAATATCATTATCCATGACAAACGTAAGAGTGCATCAATTAGAACGTTCATAAAGTCTCCAAGAAGTTTAAGTTGCTTTGAAGATCTTGTCGATCTCACCGAAGTGAATAAAAATTCCGTTTAAAACCACAGGGACAATGTAATAGGTTAGTGATTGACAGTAAATTGTAAATTAAATGAGAAACATGTACTCAGTAATTTTATGTTAAGTTTGTTCATCAGACGTCTAGTCGTTGATTGCTACTTATCAAAATGCAGTTTTTGAATAACAATAAATGTAGATTTTATGTTTTATAGAAAATACATGACTATTTTGTGATTACATCTACTGAAGACCATATTACTTATTGAGAATTTAATGAATTTGAAAATTTGAAGGATGTTGAATGTATAAAATAATAGGGCATTGGAAAAGAAAACGAGTTTTGATGAGAAACATCTTATTTTGGTGGTATTTGAAATCTTCTCAATATGTTCAAATGCACTACGTTTTTCATTTGAAATGTAAATTCAGTGTTTGTGTTACGAAGTCCATCATAATAGGCATCTAACAATCTTTTCAATTCATTTCGTTTCTTTGTGTCTACTAGAATTATTACTGAGATCATTTGATGACAAATATTAGAAAACGTGACATTCTTATTTCTATGTAATTCTAATGAAATCTACTTCAATACAAAAGTATAGTCAACGCTTGTATTTTGACTAAAAATAATATGAAAATCGTTCAAAGTAATTATAACTTAGATCTGCAGGTGAGGTATTTCAAAAATGAACACAACGCAAAAACTCTCTTGACCTTATTAATGTGAAAATGTAAACAAATGATGTAAGCGTGATGTTTATGAGATCTGTGTGGCATTCATTATCACTTAAACAATAAACACATGATTATGTATAAACCTTTTTGATTTAAATCACAAACATGTTTGATGTTTATGTGCTGAAAAATGAACACTTACATTTAAGTATCGTAACACATTAGTAATGAATTCAGTCTAAATGTGATCAATCTAAAGGAATGTTTTGTTTGCATTTTAACAAAACATTTAAATAAATGTATTTTATTGTTGACACGGAAAAAAGATTATTTGTATAGGTTTTCTTCTGCATAAAACATGGATTTGTATCTTATTTCTCAACCAAAATGTTCTGAATAGTGAGTTTTATTTTAAATGTTTTAAAATCAAATGATATTTGTGAGACGTTTTCTATGCTTAAAAGGTGTATCATATCCAGTACTTAAGTTCATTTGGAGATCATTAAATCAGTGAATACTTCATATTAAAAAGTAATTGCCATCATTGATTTCCTCTGACATATATTTGTATTTCTCGTTTGTTATTTTCTGACTGTGAGGTACCGAACATGTTTGTAACAGATAGTTGCGTATAGCTCTACCTAAATGATGTAAAATCCTTAATGACTATAAAACTCAAATATTTGGCACTCAATTACGAAGTAAACGGAGAAATAACAAAATGGGAGGTAGAACCTAGTGAATGATAAAAACATTACTGATAGATTCAGCCTTCGTGAACTAATTGAAGAACAAAATACATATAATCAAGTGATATGATGAGAGACAATTATGTAAGTCTTCTGTTTGTGTTCATTTGTTTACCCAAATCCGATTTAAACTACATAATCTAGGTATATTGATAGTATCGATCCCTGGATATACCGCTGCTTTATGAGCAAGTTTCCGATCGTAAGAGTAGGGTTACTTAGACCAAATATACAGGTTTTAAGTTTGACTTTGAGAAAGTTACATATACTAAAAAACCTAACCCATGAGTTATGTCCTAAGCCCTATTTTTCTTGAGAGTTTGAGTCCTGGAATGTAGCGTCCAAATATATTGTATTTTACTGTGAAATATCGTTGAACTCCTTCCAAGTTCAGCGTATCAGATAGACGCAAATTGCTAAATATAAAATAGCATTATTCATGGACAGATTTTCCGGTTAGCGTTTTTTTAGCGAGTTACTTTTCTACGGGATGGGGTTGCTAACCCCATGTCCCACCATTCTCCTTTATCCGTGATTGGGACCGGCAGTATCCCCCGGAGGGACTCCAGATGGAGTTCTCTTTCTTCTGGTGATCGACTGGATCATGAAGACGTCACAATCTGAAGGGAAGCACGGAATACAGTGGACATCTAGGATGCATTCGGACGGTCTAAACTTCGCAGATGATCTGGCCCTTCTATTGCAAACGCAACAACAGATGCAGGAGAAGACGACCGGTGTAACAGAAGCCTCAGCAGTAGTAGGTCTTATTATACACAAATGGAAAAGCAGGATTATCCGATACAACACAGCATGCACCAATCGTATCAAACGTGACGGAGTTTTGTAAAATGTAAAAACCTTTACATATTTGGGTTGAATCATTGATGAACACGGTGGATCTGATGCAGATGTGAAAGCGCAAGAGTAGCAGATCCACAATTGAAGAAAATTTTGAACTTGAAACACATGTCAACCAACACCAAGGTCAGTTCTACTGTATGAGGCGGAAACTTGGGGAACTACAAAAGCCATCATCCAGAAGATATAGGTGTTTATTAACAAATATTTCGTACAGAAGGATTCTAGACTTATGTTGATAGAACTCTCTTAAAATAAAACCCAATAATCTTCGTAATTTTGATATTTTAGTGTTTGGGGCAGTTTTGGCTAAGGGACAATTTCGGTCTTTGGTTAATTAATGATTCAAGTTGACGTACAGACGTAACAAAGTTAACTTATTTGATATTAATTCGCAATAAACGACTTCAAGAACTTAGAAGGGGATAGGTTCTTCAGGTAGACTCAAGCCTGTTTATTAATAGTTCGTGAGGTAATTTGTTAGACTTTATCTATGTTTAGGTTTATTAAGACAAATAAGTTCTTTTGATCACTGTTTTAAGCAACCTCATCAAACAAGTCCCACAGACATGAAGTTCCTAACCTAGTTATAAAGAAGCCATGCTAAGAGACACTAGTTAGACCTTCAGATAGTAGGTGGTCGGATATTTGATCATTTACCATTGCTTTCACCATTCGTTCTTTTTATATTTAGGGACTACGTAAGTTACTTTCATTTTTCTGGGTATGTTCTTGCTTCTAAGTACAGGTTAAATATTTTGAGTAGCTGTTTTAGAATTCACGGTTCTATCTTTCCATAGATAACTGACGACAAGTCATGAACACCTGAGCTTGAGTTCAGCTTGATGGTTTATTGACAGTGATAATAATCCTGAGTTAGTTATTATTACTACTGAGATTATTCACGCTAATCTATTTAAGACTGATACGTAGAACATGAAATCTATTCTCATTGTTCAAGAGACTCACTCAGCAGTTTACAAATGATATTTTGATCATCACTGACCACTCCAGTTTTCAGTACTGAATGACTGCTGTTGCACTCTTTTTCAGAAGGTTACCCTACAGGCAACAGAGGTTTTAGGATTTAAATGCGTTTGGGAGCTACATATTCCTCGACTTATTGCTTTTCATTTTGACTTTTGCATACTCAAGTGAAAAGTATATTTGAAGCGGGATACAGAAATCCTTTGATAAACAATAAACAAACTCTAGTTTCCAAAGCTCCTTCTCGGTATTTCGGTAATGCAAGTTGTTCTTATCAAACACTTTAAATGAGTTTAATGGAGTCTAGTGCTGATTTAATGGTAGTTTAGTGGCCCGAGATCTGACGCCAAGGAGATCGTAATTAATGATTATTGTTGGAATTTATATGTCGCCTATCCTCCTATATAATCATCGAATTAAATCACGTTAGTCAATAACAGAATTAAATAAGTCAAATAACGAGAATGGACTTATGAATACATATATTTTGTATATGAAGCGAATAGAACAGAGAGAAGCGAAACGACGCGCAGTGGAGGTGGCGGGTAAGCCAACTCCATTTAACCAAGCGGTAATCAACATTTATAGTCACACAAAAGTATGTCACAACCACGTGATGAATAAGATAAGAAGGGCACACACATATGCGCTCATATGAAAACGAATAATATTGTCCGACCGGCCATTTTTTTTAAAAAAAAAACCCCACCCCATAAAAAAAATTTTCCACCCCAAAATTACAATATTTTTCATCCCGTGTTTCGTCCAATGAAATGGCTAGTTTCAAAAATTAGATTTAATTGGTTAGTTATGTCTTGAAAATTGTTATAAATTATCAGTACTTGTCGACGAAGCACAATCTCAATCGTCATTATGGAGCAGAGTAACGTGCCGAGTACAAGCGCTGGTGTTTCTCACGTAACGGAAATGGAGGAAGTCTTTTTGACTACCTTGTTTCTGGTTGCGTTTCCATCGGTTGAAGCGTTAAAGACCACTATCACAAATTTTGAAAGATCGACTTACAGTCATTATGTAGTGAGAGATTCGCATATTGGCAGAGATCAAAAATCCTACATTAAATTTGTGTGTTGGCGAAATGGGCGTATAAGATCTAGCGGTTCGTCACAACGTATTAGACGGAGGAGGTAATTTGGTAAATTGTTTTATAATTTTTTGAACGAAGGGCTTCTATGAACACCCAATGTCCAGCATTTATGTTTTGTAAGATTATAGACGGCTATTGGACTGTTGTACGTGGGAATGTACATCACAATCACGAGTGCAATTCCCTGAGGTACCAGGGTAATTCATGGGTGCGCAGGTTAACGGATGGGGAGTTTGAAACTGTGAGACCGCTGCTGATTTCCGGTACCGCTGCATTCCACATAAAGAATTTTGCTTACCAATCTTATGGCAAATGTCTGACCGCTCAAGATGTCTGCAATATGCGGTACAAAGTGTTCTCACACGCGAACCTTCCTGGTACGGAATTTGCCAATTTATAATGTACACTATAGGTGATTACGGGAAATTGAAAGCTCACATAACATCCTTGGGTGGGCTTTGCGAATACGAATTGGACGATGAGAACTGTCTATCGTATTTCTTCTTCATGACCGCTGAACAAGTGAATTTGGCCGGTCACTTTTGTG